TGGGCCCCATAGAGTATTTGGAAGACCATGCCAGTGATACGGGAGAAGGTGCGTCGGATCATTCGTAAAATGGCGTATGCCTTTTGGGACGACTTCTCATGGTGCAGTGAGAAGGATAAGCTGAGTAGACCCAGATACCCAAATCCTTTTTGGCATCTATCTTCATAATGTTTTCTGGCCCTTTCTCACCTTGCAAAACAAAGACCTTCGCTGTGTCTCTTTAAATGACTAACGCACTTTTAGTAATTCAGAGGAAAGTACAATTACAACGACCACTGCTTTGCAGCGTCTACACCCATCTGGAGGGCAGTGACATTGGAACTTTAAAGTATCAGTTCGTCCGCCAAAAGTAGACATGGACTCGCAAGAATATCCGGGAGGTTGCTGACGTAGATCAGAAACAGCGGTGGTCCCAGGGTGGGGCCTTGAACAACTCCAATGGAGACCGGCGCTGGAGAAGTGTGGGTCGAGTTGACGAATATCCTCCACCGGGAAGTCCAAGTCGGTTAGAGGCTGTTCGTACGTACGCCTTGATAAGACTGGATGCGACGAGGACGCTAGGGCTGAATACAGACACGCATGTTGCTCCCTGTAAATCTCAGAAAACTCGTGGGTTCTTCATTCCTGTCCCTCAAGGAGAACACATATGGCTTGCTTCTGCGACGATGTCTCATGTATTTGAACAGTACGATTTTCTTCTGAGAGAGGTCCAGGATGTTGGCCTGTTTTGGAATGTTCCATTGGCGGATTTCTGATTTACAACGGTTCCGCATTATACAAAATGCCAGCTCATCTTCTGTATCACCTGTAGTCAACGTTTTGAAAGTTGGGACCTCTTTTTCAGAAGCCATCGTATCCTTTTTGGCAACCTGCGGCTCATCCGGCTGCGCGTTGTTTTTTTGGACGAACATCGCGTCAATCTGGTGAGCTTTCTGGACAACGGTCTTATATAATTCTTCCACTGAAGCTTGTCACAGTTTAACTTGTTCAGAAAAAAAGCGCACCCCTGGCCCAATAGCAGATAAAATCAAAGGTCAGCACACAGTTTTCGGTATGTCCCAGTGGAGCGTTAATTTTTACCTGATCAACGAAATGTGTTGCGTTAGTGATCACCAAATTCAGAAGGGATGTTATGTGGTCTGCGCGGTCTCTGGTGGATCCACCGACATGTTGTGTCCAAACTCTCCGTTGAACGAATGAAATCAGCGCCCCTGCAAAAAGCCTGCTTGATCCGACGCGCTGGAGCTCCATCCTGGAGGCCTTTGGATTGTTGAAGTCACCAACCAGCAGGAGATGAGTGAAATGGTATTTGGAGTAGAGTTGCTCAAGGGTTCGTATGAGGAAATGGTCATCTTCTTGGGGGCTCAATATGATACGGTAGATCACAACGAGAAGGAGAGAATCGGACCCGCGCAGCGGGATGTTGATTCACAGTGCATCGCAAAAAAGAGCAGGAGTGGTACCGGAGAGGGTAATCACGACTGGTAGGGCTGCTTGTATGTACTGGGCAATCCCACCAACCCTCATTCATTTGATGCGTGATATAAGCTTCATCCGACGGTTGTTCGCGCTGCATCAAGAACCCAATTTGAATCACCCTGGATGCTTTTTTATATGAGTTCTCACACTGGCAATCTTACCGCTCAGCGCTGCTGTACTACATCCTTGTTTTGGCTGTACTTCTCAGATAAGCGGGAGTCGATGAACGACAAGAACAAACCTGACTACGGAGGCTTGGGGGAAAGCCTCGATCTTGTTTATCAACCCGTGTTTCCGATGAGCTGAATAGTCCTGCCTGGACATTGAAATCTGATCCTACAAATGCATCCGAGCTCTTCATGATGGACCCGAAGGTGCTGAGATCTCTATAGTTGTCTCTATGAGGCGGAGCCACAATTTGTTGCTGCTTAAATGAGATGGTGGACAAAGAGTGTCCAGTAATTCGAAAATCGGACGGTAGAATGTCAGCTTTTTATAGGCATCCATTTGAGCGATCATCACTCATCCTGTGGGCTTACAGCCTATGCAACACCGTTGCAGCAGCTTCAGGATTACTCGTAGTTTGTATTCTATGACTCCTAGATAGAGAGGATACCGTATGCTCAACAACTGTACATGTATCCCGTACTAGAGTTTCAGCAAACGTCAATGGACGGTGTGTAAATGTCGCAAGAACGGTTTGTTCGCCGATTTGCCTAGAAAATCCCGCGTTCAAAACTGCAGTAAAAACAGGCCTGACTAGCTGACGCACTGTGGTAGATGTTAGCGGATGTTTGCGATTCGCCACTTCCTAGGTAGCTGATTGAAGTATTTAGAGCTGTGATCCACACAAGGGTTGTCGAATTGGGCTGATCGGGAGCTGAGGGATTAGGATGAAAGATGGGAGACACCCTTGTCTGCTGCAGTGCACGTAGTGGTTAGGGCTGTCTGGTTACCACGCGATGATCGATGTGACAGGACGATGATTCCACCTTTGAAGTCCTTTGTTTTCGGTGCCTAGGTGCCACGCCACCCGAAGGAAGGATGAGGGCTGGTGTACGGCTAGTTTGCCGAAGCCTAGACAAGGGGACATGTACGTGAACTGGGACACCTTCAGGGCGCCCCAAGCAATTAGGTCCTCAAACAAAACCAAATAGCCTAACTGCAAGTCAGCGGTGGACGGACGGACACTACTCGACTTGTTAAAATTTTAAGGACACTTGTTTCAACAATTGCACCCATACCCGCTATCTGGTGGACCAGGAGACTGTTCCTCACAGTTATCTCCGTTGGCCAGATATCGTCGATATCGGTATATCCTATTACTGCCCGAAAGGCCATACCAGCAAATAGTGACTAGGATGGCGCATGGAGATCCTCGAACACCGCTTCAGGAATGTCAACGATGGTGGATTTCGAAGGCTCAGGAGACGGGGGAGCTTTCGCTGCAGGCAACAGCCACACCCTGTCTCAACTGATTCGATCAACTGGTCAAGAAATGTATCAGCGGAACAATATGCAAAACTGATAGAACAGTAATTCACTCCCTCAATTGTCGTCTTGAGCGTTGGACCAAGCACTTCAAAGAGTAGTTCAGCTGGACGAACCAAGCGGGCCCGAATGAAACTCCCCTGGAGTACCGTCGCCTCCGAGGGGACCTAATTCTTACCTACGCCCTGTTTGAACAAAGCTTGGCAAACAGGTTTTTTACCGTTGACCCAGCAAACACCCGGCGGGGACATAGTAAGAAAATCTTCAAGCTCAGGGCACACACATTCATTAGACAAAACTTTTTTTCATTTCGGGTAGTAGCTGCGTGGAATGACCTTCCTCCGGCGGTTGTACACGCTCCTTCTCGAACCCAATTTAAAGCACTATTAGACATTTATTTATGCGAATCCTCGCGCTGGCGAGCATACTGCCCCGCGCTGAGAACATAAAGAGCAGTGCTACACCCTTTTTTCACTTGTGCCTTTCAGGTGAACGACAGCCACTGACCGACAAGAACAAAACCGACCCGGGAAACTTGGGCAACAGCCTCGATCCTGTGTATCAATCCGTGAATCCGTGAATCCGTGAAAACTTTGACACCAACCCGCCGTCATCCAACGTGAGATATCAATCCTAAAGCGCGACAAGGCACCTGGTCCGAATGGACCTGTTAGGCAGAATTCCACACGGAACCCGCTTTACCGCAGTCTTTAGGCGCTGCTACGGCCGATAAGCCTGACCCGCACGAGATTGGCCAAGAATTCGGGACGCTTGCCGATCCGACATCAAGACGAGATCTGAATGGTCAAAAATCTGGACCCAACAGCCAATCAGGACTCAGTATTGGCCAAATGCCAGTTGACAATGGCGCATCCAGAACGCGTCAGAACTTCCAAAAGGTTACAAGCGCTTACGCTATATCAACGAAGCGCTGTAAAACTGTTGTTGACTTCGTTTTGGGCATTAAAAGACCTTGTGTGCCTTTGCTGGTTGTTCAGACGTGAACACTAGCTTGCGAGACTCAGACTGAGAACTAAGCTGAGGAAAATACTGTTACTACAGGACTGCAACCCGTTCTCTTCAAGGGTGGCGAGGCCCTGGGGAACATTCCGACAACCATACTCCAGAGGATTTTGAATTAAAGCAGAATACCAGCCAACTGATACTCCTCGACCGTCATCCCAGCTTTAAAAAAGGGCACAAGGACGTCATATGAAAGTCATCGTGATATCAGCCTGGTATCCGTCGCATCTGAGGTGTTTTCTGACATTATTTTGTGCAGGCTGATGGATTTTCGGGAGGGACGGGTTCGTAAGAAACAAGCTGGGCTTCGCCCCGGCCGAGGATGCATCGACCATATATTTAATTTGAGAAAGAACGCTAAAAACGCTACTCCTTCAGGCGTCTCTTGTTGGTCGCTACCTTTACACCTGTCGATCGTCAGAAACCTTGGCAGCGTCTGGCGACCAAAGTGTCCCTAAAAATCTTCTGTCCATTGTGATAGTATTGTATGTGTACGAGTACACAGGAAGCTTTCGCCTGAGTTCATCGCGTCTAGTGGTGTAAGACAAGACTGTCTTCTTTCCCCTTTCCTCTTCAACTTTGTTACTGATATGCTGCTTGAAATTTCTCTACCTGCCTCTCAACCCTTGAGAGTCGAAATGCTCCCGGGACATTTCCTCACAGACATTAGGTATGCAGACGGTATTGCTCTCTTTGTTTCAGATCTTTCCAAAATGCAGACGATATCAAGTAACCTAAATAACCCTGCCGCATGGTTTGGCATTCGATACACACCTGCAAAGTGTAAAGTGCTGCTACAAGACTGGGTGGGATCAAACGCACACCTCATGTCTGCAGACGAGCCAGTCGACTTGGTAAATAAATTTGTTTACCTGAGTAGCTGTATAGTTTCCAGTGGAGTGGCTGGGGATGAGATTATTTCTCGAATGGGAAAAGCCAGTGCAGCTTTCGCTAACCTCCGACACACATGGCGCCCAAATGACGTCAGTTTGTCTGTCAAGGACTGAATTTATACTGCGGTGGTGCAATCTATACTGACTTATAGATCAGAGACGTGGCCCCTACGCGCAGAAGAAATACAATAGCTGTCATTGTTTAACTGTCGGTGTATCCGAAGCATTTGCTGGGTCTGGTGGGGACGTCGTATTAGTAATGCTGATGGAGAAGGAACTCTTCCGCTTCATAGGTTATGCTGGTTGGAACATGTACTCTGCATGCCGGAAGACCGTCTGTCTCACAGAGGCCTTTCCCCCAGCCCTGTGGTGAGTGGAATCGACCGAAAGGTGAGCAGTGTTTGACCTGGCAACAAAGTGCGAAAACACTAACCAGTGAACGTAGTCGGGTCGGCAACTGCTCCCTCCGTGGATGGGGACCAGTAATTAATGACTTTGGCAGAAATGGCCCAGTCGCGCAGTCGACGGCGCTCATGTATCAAAGCTATCGCCTTCAATACCCAGTTCTAGAACTAAACAAGGCTTTACTATATGTCCCACACTTTTTTCCGGTGATCGGAACTGTTGCAGCTGGAACCAATGTATCTATGGTACGCGGTTTATAGCTGATACATTGAATACTGATTGAAATTAAAGATGATGACGTGTGCCCTTGTGCCGAAATTTAGTGCTGCCTAGGAACAGATAACGTTCGGCGCACAACTGAAGTCACTCACCATTATCTGTGCCGTAAACGTCAACTCTGAAATGGCCGCCAAGTCTGGTTACCTCGGACTTATTCGGTCGACTTGAGAATTCATAGCGCCCACAGGGATCACAGGGATCCACTTCTCTCTGACGGAGGCGGACGTGACAAGTTTTGATAAAAAAGCCCATTTTCAAGGCTTCCTCTATGGGAGTTTGTTTGCACCACAAGCAGACACCGTCTAATGCATCAGTGTACATGGATTTTAATCGAGTCAGTAAATTGAGAGTCACTAGGACGACTATCTGCTCTAATTCAGATCACCAAAACACATTCAGTCCTAGGTTCAAGCATAACTAACTTGTGTGGGACTCTTTCGCTTTACGATTCTCATGTTACCCAAAAGAAACGCAAAGACTGATTCGTTGTTAGGTTTTCTAAGCCTAGAGAAGAGCACTTGCGAAACCAGAGTTTGGTTCAAACCATCGGACCACCGGTCAGTAGCTTCGCGCCCTAACTACTGAGCGACCTCAAGCACCGTCTCCGCATATCCGTAGCCGAAGAAACTTATTCTTGATTCGTACCCCTTGTCTAGGCTTGGGCAACCTGGCAGTATCCCAGCCCTCGTGCCTCCTTCGTGTGGCATGGCAGCTAAGCCTCGAAAGGGTGCTACAGCTGGACGATTATTACGATTATTATTACCCCTTGAGACGTTGAGAACGTGTCCGAGAACGGGTTTAGGCAGAGTCCGTGCTATCGAGGATAAACAATGTTCTACTTGTCTGAGCACAAGCGTAGATGATTTGAAATGTTCATACCAATATTCATTGCGAGTATACAGGATAAATATAATATAAAACAGACAAAAATCCTGACATTTACCCTGTCATTGTTCGAATTGACACATACGTACTGAGTTAGATAGGGGAAGATGTAATGAGTTGGGCTTCTCTGTCTCTAAAACCGTGAGGATGATCCTGTCACTGTTCATCATCATCAATGACAGCAACATCAGTGTTGGCACTGATGCTTCACTGCCGTACAACCATAAAGTTCGTTTAGTTATATATATATATATATATA